ATGCACACAAATGAGATCATGTTAGTAAGAGGGCTGTTTCGTCCTCAAATGCCAGGGCCCTAAGGCGCCCCACTGTAGTGTATAAAGGAGACCCGAATTCCATTTCCAAGTAGGAAGAAATTTTTTTATCGAGCATCTCAAGCCTTCAGCTGGGATGTTGTATATCTCACAGCCTGGGTTGGTCATTACAGGCAGGGTTGAAGTCCACCCCCTAAATGACAGAAATTGTGTTGATGGAGGTATACAAAGACACTATACATTTCACTCAGTCTTCGTGGAATACTGCATCACTTCAGAAAGACGGAGATACTAGGGATTCGAACTCATGTCGTTTGCGTGAAGTAAGTTAAATAGGTAGCAGTGTTTTTTTTGTGTGTGTCTTTTTTTGTTCAACGTGTTTTCTAAGAGTCGGCACGGCAAATTCGATGTTATTTGTACAGTACCTTATAGGGCCCACCTTGCAAGGGAATAAGGTAGTTGTGAGAATATTGCAGCCTGAGAGTCTAGTAAATGTCATCAGTACAATATTATGACCGAGATGAGAACTATAAATCAAGTTATATTTCAAGTTATTATATAAATAGTCATGTTTCTTATAATGATGTGTTATGGGTTTTTATTGCCCCTACAAACATAGGAATTCAAGAGGCAGGTGTGTTTATAATAATTACAACGAAAAGGACGAAGCAGCCCGTCCTATGAAGCAGTCACCGTCCTAATGAACTTGTTGTAAGGCCATCTTATGTAACTGGAAAGTTTGTAGTGGGGTCCGTGTTTGTCTGACGTGGCAGGCTCGATGTCTCTTGTGAAACGAAGTTTGTTTCTTTGGGTCGGAGTTGGTTATTTTGTAGGGTCCGAGCAACACCGGTGATCAAGGGGAATAATCGAAGGTAACTTAATGTTAGAAAAGTGGGGCAAGTTGGTTTGTTCCCCTTAGAAATTATGAAGGACCATCCGCGGAACTCTTCAAGCATCTCAAATGTTACTTCTTAAAAATACACACACACACATACACACATATGCATACACACATACATACATACACACACACACACACACACACACACACACACACACACACACACACACACATACGTCTGTTTGTTATACATGTACTATATCGAAATG